TGTAAAGATCATAGAATCACAGAATCACAGAATCATTAAGGTTGGAAAAGACCTACCACTTCCCTGGGCAGCCTCTTCCAATGTTTAACCACTCTTTCAGTAAAGACATTTTTCCTCACGTCCAATCTAAACCTCCCCTGGCGCAACTTGAGGCCATTTCCTCTCGTCCTATCGCTTTGTTTATCGCGATAAACAAACCCAGGGAAGAATGAGTAGAAGTTGAACGGCTTTGACTTTTTTTTCATGTCCACTGTGTTTGTGCAAATTTATGTCTTAAGGCGTCAGATGAAAAATACAATTACTAAGCATACAGTTGTACACATCTGAAGGGTTTTCTAAGAGTTAAAATGGTGTTTTCCGTTGTCCTCCTAGCGGTATCTGTTGTCGAGTGTACCCATTCAGCACTGCCACCCTGCCTCCCTGCTTCCCTAGGCTGACATTTGGCACCTACATTTCAGTTTCCTAGGCCTGGGCTCTGGAGAACTCCTGGCGCATGCATACGCACTGGACAACCCCAACACCACGAGGCGTTAAAATTGACCCAGGGTTTCAAGTTTGGTTGCAAATTTCCCTTTAGTGTCTCTCTCTCTTCAGCTTTCAAATGTCTAACCTGGGTGGACCAGGCTGACCACGTAAGCTCTGGCTGCTTATGGTAGAGACCAAAAAGGAACGGCAACCTGCGAGAAAACCAAGCATTTCCATAGTACACGTTTTCAAAAACCCAGTGATCAGTGGCCGTCTGCTCAGCATCTTACCTGAGAGTGAAAATGAGCTGGAACCCGTACACTGGAAGGCCTTGAGCGGGATAAAAATACCCAGCTTCCTTCATTGCCGCTGTTTGCTTCCTTTGCTCGTTCCCCTCTGAGCTCTTTCTCCCCTCCTTGCAGGGACATTGAACGTGTTGATCAAATCTGGTGAGCATTTACAACAGCCTCTGTCTGTTGTCTGTCTGCGTTTTCTTGGTAACTTCTCCAAACTAACACGGTCTCGTCCCCCTCTTTGTTTTTCACTTGCCTAGAAGTCGCCAGAAATAAGTTGTGGGTGGCTAGCGCAATCTGTTGGATGTTTAGATCCGTACGAACAGGCTTCTTTCTTCACAGAAAGGCATTTAGGACTTGGCTTTTGGTAGCTTAAACGGGGATGTGGATCACGCTAACACTCACCGTCAGTGAATTGTGTGTTTGAGTAACAGAGAATGCCTCACTTCTAACTGAGAAGAGACTGTCCTTCAAGATTAGTTGTATGCGTTTATTTTTTATTTTCCTCTTTTGCCTTATTTCTGGGAGACGTTCGCGTGTTACCAGACAATTCTAGTATCGCTGTGCAGTGTGTTGACAAAGAACTGCCACTTATTTTAGGAGGAGTGAAAATACTGTGGCAGTAACAGGTAATGCAAAGCTGGTGGAGGGTTAGTTTCCCCCCCAAAATGGATCAACATCCATGATTTAGTTAAGGAGAGGAGGTGCCGGTAGCACGATTTTAAGTCCCCATTCCTCAGAGGAGCGAGATCGCTTTTCCAGCGTGTTTTTTAACCTCTCTTTAATCTCTCAAGCGAAGCAGAGGACCACCGGGATAGAAAGAATGAGTTGTTCAGAGCTTTCCAAAGCTCGGGGGAGAACAGTTACAGAACACTATTATCTATCACAGAAGGATAAAGGAACGAAAAACCCCCAAGCATATGCGAGGGAGCTGGTGAGCTACAACAAACAGATATTTGTTTTAACCCCTCTGGTTCTTTTTTGACCTCATCCATCAACAGCGAGCTTCTGCTGGATAATCGGTCTTTGAGCAGCAGAGACGTGGGTTGTCGGAACTGCTTTTCTGCAGGGTGTTTCTGTATAGCACCTGACGGGACTGTTTTTACTCCTGCTGCTTTTTCTGATAGTAATTTCTAACAGGGTCCTTAAGAAGACTTCAAAACCACTGCAGAAAGGCTAGCCGTCGTCAGCCTCCTAGCGCTAGGGTTACAGCTTTGAGACCAGGAGCCGCTGTGCGGAGCTGAGAAAATGAGCCCATTGAAGTGAGAAATGGGATTTCTCTGCTGACTCCTTCCCCATCAGCGACCAGCATCTGGAAGTCTTGTCTCTTGGCAAGGAAGGATTAATCAAAGCTGCCGGGTGTAGGCAGAATTCTCTGTCGGTCTCTTGGCAGCAGCAAATCTTTTCTAGCGCAAAACAATAACGGCACAAAATCCTGATGCCAAAGAGTTAATGAAAAGGGCATCGGGCATGGAGGTGAACTTGCAAAATTCAGGTCCCTGGAGTGCTGTTCTGAACTCCTTATAGGAATTGGTGGGTTTGGAGGACGGGGCACACCAGGCTAGCTTGAGCAGCAGCAGGTTTTGAGGGGGGCTGCGAGAAGAGAAGGTAATTATTTTCAGGATTTAAATTTTATCCCTGCCTCCTGTGAGGTGCATGCGCCAGCGTGCCTCCACCAGCTGACATCTGACAGGAATGCGTATGCGACTGCTCACCCTGCCGCAGCGTTACTGCCATTTCTGAGCATGAAATACCTGGCTGCCCGTCTCATGGCTTTGCATGATCCTTGTTGACTCGGTTTACTTTACGCAGAAGTGTGGGACTGCCGGGAACGCTGCAAAAGGGACCGCGCTGCTGGGGCAACGGGGATTGCATCAACCAAAACCGGTTTTAATTTTTTTTCATCTGTCCCATGCTTAAACTTTGCAGTAGTGCACTTGAAAGGAACGGAAGAAAATGTCTCTGTGCTAGTACTTACCAGCACAGGCTTTTAGAAGAGTAAAGGAGCAGAGACTCTTACCTCCTCCCAGGACTGCAGTGTCCAATCTGTCTCTAACACCGGGCCGGATCAGTGACGTGAGCAGGGGCCAGGACACCACATTCCCCACACCCTTACGGAGGAAGGCCCCTTGTTTGCTCTCCCTTAGCCCCTCTCTTAGCCGTGTGCCCCCAAGGTAGCAGCGACAGCGATGAGCAGCACCGTGCCCGAGCTCCTCTGCAGCACGTGGGAGAGAGCTTGCCCCTCTTTGACGGAGGGGCAAGATCCCTCCGGTTTGTCACTGTCACAGAAGAGCCGTCACTGTAGAGACGCGTAGTGAGCTGTAATTCTGTACCGTAGTTTGCTTTGTGCTCCTTTCTGGTGTCCGTTCCCTAAAGCGCTGCTTCCGCTGTAGAAGCGAGTAGCGCGGGGTGGAGATGTTGGACGGTTGTCTTCGCACGCATCCTGGTGCTTCAAGAGGAGCAACTGCAGGCTCCAGGGGCAGACCCGTCACAAGACGGTGACTAGTATAATTTTAGAACGCGGGTAACTTTGTCAAACTGATTCTAATCTTTTCTTTTCCATTTCTCCTCTGTTCCTGATGCAAGGAATTGTGGAAATGTGTTCTGCTCCAGTTGCTGTAACCAGAAGGTGCCCGTTCCCAGTCAGCAGCTCTTTGAACCCAGCAGAGTCTGCAAATCGTGCTACAGCAGCTTGCACCCCAGCAGTTCCAGCCTCGATCTCGAACTGGATAAACCCATCGCTGCCACGTCAAATTAAAGTCCCAGCCTCGAAGCTGCGGGGGGGGCAGCCGTGCCGACTCTTCTCCAGCGGACGCGCAGATTCTCGGTGGGCTGCGGCTGGGAGGATGCGGGAGCCATGCACTTTGGAGGTTGGGGCGTGGAACACTGCTCGGCGGGACAGACCTCGAGGACGTACCGCTGGACTGTGGGATTCTCCTTTTCCAGCTATTCCCCCTTTCCTTTCTGTCCTATCTGTGTGTATGTGTCTACGCGCGTGCGTGTGCGTGTATATATATAATAATATATATATGTTTGTTTGCTGGAAGATTGTGGAAGCGGGAAGGCAGCTGGTGCCAGAGCCAGATTTCCCTTTTGTATTTAACTGCCCCACTGCTGAGCTGTGTTGCAGAGAGACGATGGATGTTGTGGAGGAAAGGAGAAGAGGGGAATCGGTCCAGCCAGTGTGCAAAGTGTGAATACCTGTAGCCTCAGTGCTAGCGCTTTCAATCACTCCTGTTACTTCCAAACAAGAAACTGCTGTTTGGGAACCTGTTGCTGCTAGAAGAAATGGGAATCTCTTTCCCAAGAGAGCACTCTCCCTCTCTGTTCTTAGAGCGGGCTTAGTTATCCTCGCTGCGTGAAGGGGGAATCAATCACGGATTTCCATACTCGGCAGCTCTCTACTTGCACACACAATCGATGTGTTTTGTTGCCGTCGGCCCTGCCGCTGTGGCGCGGGGTGGAAACACCTGGACGGCGCTGGCTGAGGAAAGCGTGTGCTTGTTTGCGAGAGGCGAGAAGGGGACTGAACAGGCTGCCGAGCTGAGATGGGTTTTACACTGGCGCCTCTCTCTGAAGTTCTGTAAATGCGATTCATTATTTAAAACCGAGTGGGAAAGTAGAAGGCCTTCGACTTCTGTCCTTGCCCCATCTGTAGGACGGCTTACTCGATGCGAAGCTACTTTTGGAGCAGAGCACTTGTCGTGGTTCATACAAACAGGCCGTCGTGCTGTT